AGGTTTTTCTTGTGACCTAGAGATAACAAGAAATAGATTCAATGTTGTTGGGGACACTGACCTTTCTTCCCACACTCATCCCATGTATTTTCTATTTTTACTCTATATTTGTGTCTTGTTTGCCATTGTAATTTGTAAACTCACTGGGCAGGAAATAATTGTTGATCTTTCAATCTGGAATAGCCCGAAGCACATGGTTATTAACGGTAACACATTTTAATGTCCTTGTTTGTAAAGTGAACAATGTTAAATAGCTTCGTGTTTTTCACTTTTATTTTTTCTTCATTCGTGGCATGCGGGTTTTATTCTGGATATTCTCATCAGGTGGTTCTCATAAGAATGTAGGCAGTTTCTTTTTTTTTTTTTTTTCCTTTTTGTCTTTTTTTGTGACCGGTAACGGGATCGCAACCCTCGGTGTCGTGCCCGCACCGCAACCGGCAATGGGATCGCAACCCTCGGTGTCGCGCCCGCACCGCGCTCAACCAGTGAGCAGACCAGTCTCTATATGAGATCCGAACCCTCGGCGGGAGCGCCACTGCGCTCCCAAGCGCTGCACTCTACTGAGTGCGCCACCGGGCCGGCCCTAGGCAGTTTCATAATAACCAGTGAGCAGACCAGTCTCTATATGAGATCCGAACCCTCGGCGGGAGCGCCACCGCGCTCCCAAGCGCTGCACTCTACTGAGTGCGCCACCGGGCCGGCCCTAGGCAGTTTCATAAGTTATGAACATTGGAAGAAAATACATTATTTAGGCATTGAGATCTAGATAATTCCATTTCCCATTATATTACATATAGTGGTTATTAGTGTGACTTTGAATCCTGGCCCTCTTAGCTCTATGTTTTTTCACCATGGGCAAGTTTCTGAGCCTTGATTCTAACATGTGAAAATTAGGGTAGTAATAACCTACCTCTCTGAATTTTTGTGAAGACTGAAGGAAATAATTTATATTAAGTGTTTGACTTCTTTTTTTTTTTAAAGATGACCAGTATATTTTTTTTTAAAAGATGACCGGTAAGGGGATCTCAACCCTTGGCTTGGTGTTGTCAGCACCACGCTCAGCCAGTGAGCAAACCTGCCATCCCTATATAGGATCCGAACCTGCGGCCTTGGTGCTATCAGCACCGCACTCTACCAAGTGAGCCACGGGCTGGCCCCAAGTGTTTGACTTCTAAGTGCTCAATTTATTAAGTGTAAATTGTAACTATCATTGGTCTGAAATGATTCTACTTATTTTCTTAGAATGTGACTTTATTATTTCATTTATATAGTTGCCCTGTACTGAAATAATTACTGAGGTCATCACTACCATGCCAGTACTACAAATGTGTTTACTTTTTGCTTTTCTGATTTGTAATTTTATTTTTATTTTTTTTTGTGTGTGTGTGGCTGGCTAGTTTGGGGATCTGAACCCTTGACCTTGGTGTTATGACACCATGCTCTAACCAGCTGAACTAACGGGCCTGCCATAATTTACAATATTTGGAATTCCAAAATCCAGAAGTTTGGGAGATACCCTTAATAGACAAGAGAAACCTGGGATGTTCTATTACCAGATCTATTCCTGTAGTACCCAGGTTTTCAGATATAAAGTTGTAACTCACTTGGTATCATTCAAAATGTGATAGTCTTGTGAGATAGGAGATGCTCAGTTTCCATGGGTTCGGGTTTCAGGACACATCTCTGGGTTTGAAGCCACTCCGCAAGGTCTTAAGCCCCTGATCTAGGCCCTCCCCTAGGGGAGAGCTACTGTTACTTGTTGAACCTATTTTTGATACCACTACAGGGAGATTGAGACTACAAGGGGTGGATTTATGAAAATCCAGTGGCTGAACATGCTCGTAGAAAGGAGTTATATAACTCTAGTAGCTGAGCATGCTCAGTAAAAGGAATTTATACAGTCTTATATAACCCCAGTGACTGAATATGCTCAGTGTTAAGGGAGTTTATCCTTTGAATGACTTTCCAGTGATGTTGCTGAAGAGCACTGAATATTCTTGAATGTCCGGTGCATGCGACAGAATTTGACCAATGAACATGACCTGACAGGAGACCAACTGACCATGTGTAAGACTAGGTTACACAACTGGGAACCACCTCCTTAGTTGGATATTCATTAGATAGCATGAATATGTATTAGATAGCAAAACTATAAAAGTGGAATCCCAGCAGAAGGTGGGGTTATTGCTCATTTTCCTGGGGCCAACTGGCACTTTGCTTGCTGAGGTGTGTATGCTTTACTTTTGTGTTAGGCTTACTGTTAGCAGGTGGCTGCTCACTCTCTAAGCCAGCCTGAACTCTGTACTAAACTTTAAATGTGTATTTCTTACTTTTGTATTAAACTTGGTGTGGGCCCTGCTCAGTCTCTGGGGCTAGGCTGCACTCTCTCTGTGAAATGCGTATCTCTTATTTGTTACATTAAACCTGTTCTCACTTTCTACTGTGACTCTGCTCTTGAATTCTTTCCTGTGGCCGAGTCAAGAACCTGGTAAGAGAAGAGGTTGGGTTGAGGCTGACTATCGGGCCTCCCAAGAACTTCTCCTCCAGTATCACTTGCATTTTAGGAGTTGCTGATCAGTCCCATTTAAAAGGAGTTGGGCGTGGGGGAGAAGGAGTTGGTATAAGAACATTGTAAATAAGCACAGAAAAATATTGAGTTCCAACAAACTTATCTTTTGACGTCTGGTTAAAGAGGAGCCTTTAGTTGATGGTGAAGTGATAGCTGTGAGTTGTCTTCTCTGGTAGTTAAGTGTTGGTTAATTCTAATAGCAGGAAAGGTTGAAGAAATCCAAGAAACAGTCTTCTTCACATTCCGTTGATTCTGTTACACTTAAAATTATTTTAGGGGGGCCGGCCCGGTGGCGCACTGCGCTAGTGCGCCGCTTGGGAAGCGCGGCGGCGCTCCCGCCGAGGGTTCAGATCCCACATACAGACCGGTTCCCGCTCACTGG